TTCCCCMMYATTTTTRCCCTTTTTCYCTGTCACAGGGGGAGAAACTAAAGSAAATACACCARTTTTGGGGGTACCAGCAGAAATAACTTGCAGTTTTCAGCACAGAGCTCTGAGCAGTTGGTAGAGCAAGTCTGAACTGCGACACGGTGTTAAAATAAGCTCCGCTCTGCCGGAGGGRTTGCTGAACTGCCTCCAAAACACCACTCTTTTAATTTCTAAGGATTTGCTGTTTCTGCACTTTAAAACAGATCCAAGACTCGGTGCAGAGCTGGGATGTTCCACAGTTCCTCCCTTCCTCAGGCAATTGGAGGCAGMTCTGCTGCAAAGGATTCTCTCCTTCCTGCAGCTCTGGAAGCAGCTTGGCCTGAGATAAAAACACTTTGATTTGGTATCAGCACCAGTGTTTGCAATTCTTGAAGAAGAGCAATAGACATCAAAAAACAATCAAGGGTAAAGAAAGAATAATCAATGCAGCACGGATGGAATAATCAGATATTAAAGTGTTTTCTCCAGCAAAAGGGCTGAGGAAACTTTGGGAAGAATAATGGAGAAACTGCAGAGGAGCAGAGGCTATTCAGGAGGTTCTAAAAAAATTAATAACTTGAATAAAGAAAGGTTTATTCAAGTCAATTCAGCCAAAACAACCCCATAATCTCCAAAACAAAGAATATCACTGGGAGCTTCTCCCTCCTTCACTGAATTCTCAGGAAGGAAACACAAATCCTGTCCCTTTATCAGAACTTCACAAAGACCAAAAAAAAGATCCAGGAGACAGCTGAGCTCTGGCTTTACCTTTCCTCTTTCCACTTCTTTTGTGGTCATGACAATAACTCGGGAATTCTCCTGGAACACCATCCTCCAGAAATCATTCACTGTGTTCTGCAGGCAGCCTTGAGTAGCAATGTAGCTTTTTTTTGGCTTCGAGTTGTTGCACTTGGTTTCAAACTCAGGCTAGAGGGAAAAACGAAAGCAATTCAATAATTGGTGACAAGATTCCTTTGGATTTAGGGAAGAGGAGCTGTGGGATGGGATGGGAATAGACTCACCATAATAATGTTAGCATTGATGTAGTCTGAAACGGGTTCATTGGGATCACCRTCGTGGAGAACAACTCTGGTGTGATCAACTGCAAAAACACACACAGATGTTAAGTGCCCTACAGCTGTGAACACACAGGAGCTATTAATAATCACCAAATTTAGTAAATTAGTGATTAGAATATTCCAAATTGCTTCTTTTGCTGGACCAAACCATGTCCTGGAAACTCAGGAGTCCAGGGACAATCAAACACTWAGGCAAGGCAAAGCCTCAGGATTTGCACGTTGCTGTTTTGTCCCCTCAAATTAATCCTCTTAAATTTAAGGATTTCAGCCTGTTGAGTAACAGCTGAGGGACGTGAGGTTTTGGAATGAAAGCTGAAGATAAAAAAATAATATTGAAAAGATATACGAAGTGCAAATGTTTGAACCCAAATTGGAAATTGCAGAATAATCCTGATAAGACAGGAAATTATCATTAAAGAAAAGCCAAAGCCCAGTGGTGCTTAATTAACCTTGTATTAATGAAGAAAATAAACCAGGGCAACATTAAATGGCAACGAAGGATCAATACTCACAGGGTAAAATGTTTTTRTATCTATTTTTGTTCTTGTTTTCCTGGCGCTGCCCTTCCTTACGGCTGTAGAGGAGTTTGCATTCCTGCTGCTGCAAGGTCTGAGGGTAAAGCACAAACAGGGGGCTCAGGAAAAGCAGAGCATGGACTTGTCCATCACACAGCAATCCTTTCTCCCAGGGAAAAGGGAGGAGAGGGGCATTAGGTGACTGGAAATGGGGTTATCCATAAAATATCCCAGTGCAGAAGAACCCTGGAGTGGGGATTTCTGGAACACAATGTCCCAGGGACAGCAGCAATTCCATCATTTCCCAAACCTACTTTCTCCCAAATCTCCCTGGAGCTGGARGAACCAAGATCCTGATGTTTTGCTCCAAGTTTTCATCCCCAAAGCAGTTCTGGCCCCACTGAAAGGAGCACCCAAGCTTTGGAAGCTGCTCCCCTCGCCATTCCTGCCCTTCAGACTCCTGTTTTTATTCAAAGTTTGGCCRTGTCAGGCACCTTTCCTCACTCCAATTCCAGTCTGATGCTCCCTCATTTAATGACCTTGGATAATCAGGCTCATCCTAAAGCCAAGGAAAGCAAAAGAAATGGAAAAGATGCAAARTTTCAAGCTTGTGACAAAGGACAGAAAACATCCTCACAAAGCACTGCCTGTGGAATGCCAGGCAAAAGGACYGAGAGCTCAACTTTCCCAGCAAGTTAAAGAATTGAAGCAATTAAGAGTGTGGAAACCACATCTTCCTTCCTCAGAGTTAATTATCACTGCTTGGAGCATCCCTGAGGAGAAATCCACGAGCAGCAGCGACTCCCAGCAAGCCCATTCAGAGCAGGAACAGCACATCCATAAATCTGGAATATCCTCCTCGATTTCACTACAACATCCCAGTGCTTAAAGCTCAGAAATCACCATTTTTCAGAAGGAAAAACATTACAAGGACTGTCAGCATTCCTGTCTGGAGGTTCCTGGGACAAGAGGCTCATTCCTGCCTGGAGATAAGTAATTTAAATTCACCATCTGGGCTGGCAGCTCTTCAACAGCTCAGCCAGGGATCCATGGACAACCTGGAGTGTTTTTGCTGCTCCTGCCACCACGGGGGACAGCTGGGATGGAATGGAAAAGGGGAATGGAAAAGCAGGGCACTCCAACTGCTGGCAGAGGGTTTTATTCCCAAAAAACAGGGTTAGTGCTGACCTCAGTGCCAGCTGTGAAGGGGAAAGGGAAGTGTGAGGTCTCACAGGTAAAATCCTTCACTGATTTTACTTTTTCTTCTGTAAGGAAAACACTTTGCTGCTAAAGCCCTGCTGAGAAATCCACTCCAAGAAAAATCAGCAAGTGCAGCAAAGAGCTGGGAATGAATGGCTCAGTTATGGTTTGCCAAAACAACAATCCCTGCCCACACACACACGGCCTCTGCCCACTTCCTTCCCTCCCCAGAGGGAATTCCRACCATTCAGCAGCCCTGGATCCAGGACTGGCCCCTCTCTCTGGAAAGAGAAAGGGGAAAGCTTAATCCTCATTTGGTAATTTCTCACTGCCATGAGTTCACCATCTGATATTCTCCTCACAGAGATCTGTGCTGATTCCTTCACTTTTTGTGGATTTCTTTTCCTTCTCCTGGCAATAATCAGAGCACGCTGGACAGCACATTTAACTAATTGATATTTCTGATCCAAGGGGTTTTCTCCAAGAATCRTTGCTTTGCAAATCCATCACTRTCCAAGAAGTTTCTCAAACCAGCCYAAATCRGCCTCTCTGGGGCTCCTTCAGCACTTCCCAGTTTCCTGTTGCCACCTGCTGGTGGAATTCCAGACTCCACTGGTGGTTTTGTGTGTGTGAGGTACAAAGCAGCTCATTTTATCCAGCCTGGAGTGTTCCAGGCCAGGCTGGACGGGGCTTGAACCAACCTGGGATAAGGGATTTAAGGTCCCTGCCCATGGTAGGGCATAGGATGGGATGGGATTTAAGGTCCCTCAAAACTCAAATCATTCCATTATCCCATTTCACAGAGGCTTTAAAATCCTCAAAAACGAGGATCAAACAGCCACAAGGACAAGGGCAATGCATTGACTGAGAAATGGAAGTTTTTCTAAAGAAATGGTTCCCAACTTCCCAACCAGCAGAAGGAACTCGATGGATTGTCCTTTGGGGACAGAGACAGGAGTATACATGAGGGAAGATTGTCAGGGACTGGATAAAAAGCACTCTCAGAATCAGGAAAAAATAAAAAAAAAAAAAGGAAATATTTCAATCCACAAGAGTGGAGCTGGCAAAATTCCCACCCCCAGAGATGAGAGCAAGAACAGGGATCGGAAGTGAAGGAGAGGAGGAAAGGCCAGAGAGGCAAAACCCAACCTGCACTGATTGAACACCGGAGGAAACATCACTTGGGACGGTGTAAGGAATTACCTCAAACTCTTCCCAGAAGCCCTGCTTGACTTTATCCGTGGTCTCTGCCAGTTTGCTGAGCTCCCTGACACGGCTCTCGATCTCGGCGGCGTTGATGCGCGTGGTGTTCAGGGGCTGCGGGACACACAGGGAGTTAAAAAAAAAACAACCAGGAAAAGGCAATTCAAACACAAATCCCCAAAGCTAAGGGTGTTTTAATGGGAATTTTAGGAGCCAGAATTTTGGAATTCAAGCAAAGGGCAGTGTGGAAGGGGACGGTGAACAACTGATGTTGGAGTTTCGCGGTTTTTAATTTAATATATTAAATTGTCTAATTTCTGGATTTGGCCTGAAATCCCTACAGACCATAGTGACACCAGGAAATGCACATCAGAGGTAACACTCCATCCCTTCACAAGATTAATAAAAACTGTTCCCATTTAAATGGCTTCCTCACCCATTTAACCAAGTTTAATTCTTCACTTTTTGYCTCRGRAAAGAAAAAGTCTCACAGAAAACAGGGAAAAACTGCATTCCAACATCACATCCCTGAGATGGCAGAGCTCAGGGGTTCCCTCTCCTTCCACTCACCTGTTTGAGCTGCAGCACAGTGCCCAAAGTCTCCACCATGGGGTTCTTYTTGTAATGCTCCACCAGATCTGTCAGCGAGTCAAACTTCTCCCCTCCACCGACATCGTATTTGAGATCCTGGGAAGACAAACACTCCTCAAAATAAATAAATGCAGTTCCTACCATCACCTTTAGGCTGAAATAATCAGATATAATCAGAAATAATCTTTAAAATTATGCATAGAAGACTATTAAAATCCTCCTGCTAAAGGATAGAGATTTAATAAACAGAAAAACATTCCCTTTTTGCTATCTTGAAAATCAGTTTATCTTCTTTTATAGAGAGCTGATTCCCTCTGTACTGGGGTCCAGGCTGCTCAAGTGAATATTGGAGTTACAGGATGAGAATCCARGAATTAGGAATTTGAATTGATTTCCAAAATTGAGTGTGTCAATAGGCCCTGACAGGTTTGTGCTGCCTGGCACCATCCTGATTTTAAGGAAGCAGTGCCAAAGGATTTTCCTCAGAAATATAAATGCTATTGGCAAATGAGAAAGTGTTTTTTTGAAAAAAATAAAAATATTCTGGTATATAAAAATATTCAGTCCTGCTAGGCCATTTCTACCTCCAAACTACTCCTGTTACTGRATTTTAGGTGTTTTTATACAATTAAGTTGTTGCACTGCCTGTTGGCACAACAGCGACAAAAATCTGTCATTTTTTAAAATCTATGATTATKTTTTTAAGTGGCAACCCATGGGCATATACACGAAATATCAAAACTGTAATTTAATAACATTTCAGTGAAGAACTGCCTTATATTAAATGGAAGATTYAGATTTCAAGGCATTCCTCAGAGCGAACACTCGTTTTCACAGACTGTTGATCATCTATCAGGTGTAAGTGCCTGATCTGACAGGAGAGAGACATCTGGGGATGGATCTCCATTTATCCAATCACTCCTATTTCCACTGAATCCATCCAGGAGACTGCAAAGGCTCCCTGAGCACAGCAAAATGGGATTTGAGCCAGAATGTTCCCAGCAGGAGCCGCTCAGCCAGCCAAGCAGCCCCAAAAAACAATCCCTGCTGGAATTTGGATTCTATCAAAGGAATCAGTTTGATCCTACAGCACCCCCAGGGAAAGGGGGGACACAGAGCCCCAAGGATTCCCTGCTTTTCCCACCTGGCAGTGGATCATGACGTGTGTCACTTTGGATTTGCCATCGTTGCTCTCTCCTTTGTCATCCCCCGTCCTCACGGAAAGGACAAAGTCCCCAGGGTGGCTCTGGCTCTCCCGCACCAGGAAACTGCCGTGTTTRCCTTTCTCTGTCAAGAGTTTCTCGGCTTCTCTCCCAGAGAGATGCCCGTGAAACCACCTGGAAATAAAAGGGACACAGAGGGAGACACCTTGTTTAGCATTCCAGCTGAATCCACTTGTTTTATTATAAAAATTAAATCCTTCCGTTCACTCAGCAGTGGACAGGTCTAAGGAAAACTTAGTTTATAAAAATAATAAATAAAATAAGCCTCTGAAGTGTGCAGGTGCAGCCTAGTGAGAACAGAAACACTTCAAAGCACTKCCATGGAATTTCACACAAATTTCCAGTGAAGCTTTGATTTGGATCCTTCACAGCAATACTAATAAATTCCAATAAACACCAGGTCACACTGCACCTTCCCCTCAGCCAAGGTGTTTATCCTTCATCTCCTTCACTAAACTTTCCTGCTAAACTTGTGAGAGCTTCACAGTTTTGAGACCTCACCCTTCCATCCCATTAGGAATTGGACAGGATAACCCCAGCAATCCCAACTCTTCAGAAAACAGGGCCAGAAAAGCATTGATCCTCCCCACCTCTCTTATGCCATTCTGAGGAGTGAGAGAACTTGTTTGAGTATTTTTCCTTGATTTTTCACTTCTAGGAATAAACAGGTTTAGCTCTGACCCTTGACATTTCCTCAAATCCAGAGTTTCAAATTCTCYCTCTTAACCACGTTCCTCAAAACARGAGTTTTGAAAAATTTGAGGGTTTTTATGGCCTTCACTCTCTACCCACTGCTAGAGAAAGCACAAAAAGTGATGCTCAGAAATATCCCTGGGAATTCCTTGTAGCAACAGCATCAGGAGAACTTCTCCAAATTAAACATTCTCCCAGTAAAAATAAACAGAATTACTCCCTCTTTTTCAGCCCTGTCCCACCCAAGGAAGAATGCTGAAGGGAACAGGTTCTGAGGCTTGGATTGCTTCACCTTTAACCACATTTTGCAAGGAACCTCCCTGAAATGGATCCAAGATTGCATCCACCCTTTTCCCAGAGAGACTGAGGGATAAACACAGCATTTATTAACAAGCAGGACACTGAGCTTCCAACACTCCTCTGACCTTTCTGATGTGGGATCAGCACAGTTGAGGGGGTATTTCAGCTCTATGACATCTCCATTCTTTTCCTTGAGCTGCCCGTGGTGTTCCATGTAATACTGCACCAGCTCTGCCAGCGTGGCAAACTTCTCTCCCCCGTAGAGGTCATAGTAGTCACCTGTGTTCTGGATTTTGATGTGGGTGACAGCTCCAGTTCGTCTGGTGTTTGAAAGAGAGGACAAAACAATCCCTGCCAGGTCAGCTGATCAATCAATCAATCAATCAATCAATCAATCAATCAATCAATCAATCACTTTTGTGTTTGGGGTTCTACTGCCCGAGGTGGAGAAATCCATCCTCACAATTCCAGCACTGAATTATCGCAGAGGAACTGAGCTACTGCCCCTCTGCTTCAGCTTCTCTGCTCCCAGGGAAACAATTCTGTGCTGGAAACCCTCACAAACCCCACCAGAAATCCCTCATTTCCACACAGAATTCCACAYAGAGGCACTAGGGTGGAGGGTGAGAGGGATCCAGCATTGCAGAGTGTTTTGGTTTGAAACACAGCGTATCCCAGCAACAAAATGGGAAAGAAAAATTCCTCAAGAAAGGAAATAAAAAAGGAGAAACCTTAACCCACAACACAGAGGGAACCCCCCGAGCTGGTTTGCTGCTTTCTCCAGAATTCCCACCCGATCCCAAGGTCTCTCCCTCAGCCTCAGAGATGAAGGAAGAGCAGCTGCCAGCAGGAATCCCCTCCCGTGCCACAAGGGCCGTTATCTCACAAGTATCCGAGCAGCACAACTCTTATCACCAATCCCACTTTTCCCTTTTCCTTTATCTACTTCCTCTTGCTGTCTTTTCCCYATCCCTGCCACACGGCGTCAGGGGACAACTGTCACAAAAGGCCTATTTTGGAAGCTGAAAAAGCCACAGTTGCCCTGAAAAACTTGCTGACTTTTCCTGTGTGAGGAGAGTCTGGATTTCCTGCTGGATCACGAATTCCCAACACCTCTGCTACTTCCAGCTGGCTTATCAAATGGATTCCTAAAGGGCTAAAAGCAATGTTACTATCAGGCTATTTCTGATATTTTGTTGTCTTGCTGTAAAATCAGAATTCACCCCCCTTCAACCTAGAGCTGGGTGAAACTATTTGAAAAGTTCTTCAGGAAAAATGGGGGAAAAAAAGAGGGAAAAGCGGACACCACCAAAAATTGATCCGTGCATTCTTTCACCTCCTCCAAGAAGTTCATCCACAGCTCCTTCTCCACAGAACAGCAGAAAATTAACATTATTACCAACCTGGGGAAAGACTGGGAAGACCCAGACTCACCTAACGGAGAGTGTGAAGTCTCCTGGGTTGCTTTTGCTGGGCCGTGCCAGGAAGCTGCCATCGACTCCTCTCGTTAACAGCAGGTTTTCTGCCTCCACCCCAGTGATATTTGGATGAAACCATCTAGAAGAGATTAAAAATAAAGGATGTTAATAAACAAACAGCGGGTTTTCAGCGTTAASTCACGCTGAGCAATCCGACAGCTCCCAAGCTGAGTTTTGTACCTAAATTAATAAAATTTCCACTCATTATTTGTTTCATATTACAAGTTGATATATTGTAATTTTTTTGTAAGCCTGAGAATTACTCTTACACACACTCTGCCTGGGTTAAAATGGTATCAAAGGTACACAACATAAACACAGACCAGAAGTGGTATTTCCTCACTCCAGGAAAACACAGCGCACAAAGAAACTGAAAGACAAACAGGAAAAATACCTAAAAATAAAACAAAACATCCAAAGTGACACTCGACAACATTTTGAAGGTTAAAAGCTGAACAAAACCTCATGGTTGAGGGCACAGCTGAGGGGGTCAGGAAGGAACTCCCCGCGTGGACACCCCACTGCTCTTCCTGCCGGGAATGTGGAGCTGGGGTCGGATCTGTCCCGTTTAAATACAACCCCCGAGGAATCTCCCATTGATCCTCACCACCCACCAAATGCCCTCAATGACTATCCCAGAGCCCAGGCAGAGCTGGGGTTGGGCTGTGGCCAACAGGTCCCTGTCCCCACCTCTGGCATTGACTTTGGAGACTTATTTGGAGCCACTCGGTGTCACCACTGCCTCTGCTCTTATCTGGAATTTACCCATTTTTATTGCAGCCCCGAGCGAGTTCTGCAYGAAAAGGACTTGGGGGAGGATTTGAGAAGCCAAATTCTAAAAATAAACCATCAGAGCAGGGATGTGAGCACCCCAAGGCCAGTTCTGTCACCTTCAGCAATTAAAAATCACCTTTAATTTTCAGAGTTAAACCCTCACAGGGTTAAACCGAGCCTTCTCCTCTTTGTGCATCTCTAGGTTTTGCCAAAGTACGGTAAAATATTTAATAAAAACTCCACAATCAGTCTCATCACAGGTACGGGAGTGTTATAATCAGAAAAATTGAACAGCATTCCTGATCCTTCCCCATCCAGTCAGCATTTCAGGCCAAATTGCTAAATAAGCAAAATGTCAGAGCACAGGTCTAAATTTAGGGTTATTATTTCAATTGTTGCAGCAATTCCTTCTCTACTGAAAAGCTGCCAGTATTCCTACCAAAGCCTTATCCAGACCATTCTCTTCAGAAATGTTCTGGAGTTTTAGGATTCTAGAAAATCCAGATCTCTAGCAAGACATTCAAATGGGAATTAGGATCCGTTTTAGAAATAAATTGTGGGAATTTTCTTGTGACTCTTRTCTTTTTTTCCCCCTAGTTAATAATATTCTTCTTGCACCAAGAAAATCCAGTGAATAGCCCCAATCTTTCACTGAAGAACAACACAGAAAATATCAAATTTATCCAAGTGGCATGGAAAAAACTATTCAAAAAYACTTCCAAGTTATCACAGCAAATGGGAATGCACTAATTAATAATGTTACATTTATCTAATGATTATTCAAAGGTCAAGGAAAGTTGTCACAAAAGAAACCACACAAGCATCAGTACCTGGGATGAACTCAACATTAAATAAYGCATTTCAGCCTACAACAGGTTGCCTGCAGAAGGTGATCATCTATTTACCACATTTCCCTCCTCAAAATTTTACTTCCATTGGGTGAAAATACCAAAAAAATCCAAACAAAAAAACCCCCCAAAAAAGTAAATAATAGTAATAATTTGTGTAATAATTTGAGTAATAATATGAGCAGATCACAAGACTTTATAATACACACTGGAATCGAGAGAAAGCTTGGTAAGTTTGGGAGTTTATATAAAAAAAATTATAAACAGGCAGAGGGGAAATTATTAGGATTGGTTCTCCAGATTTATTATAATGACATTCCATAAACTTTGACCAATGGAATTTCTTCTGTATGCCACCCTAAACCTTAAGGAAGTAGCTGTGAGGTTTTTAAAGCGAAGGAAAAACAATAATTTATGTACAGAGGCGATTATAAATAACTCATTATTTAACAAGCATTTAAAGGAGAGGTTAAACACAAGACAGATGGGTCAAACCCCAAAATTTCCCCGCCACATCCACATAAAGATGGCAAAAGCCAAAGCCAGGGAGGGTTTCTCGCCCTTTATGTAACTCTGGTTGTGCTGGCGCCTTGTCCTCCTGCTCCCTCAGCTCCGTATTTTTGGCTTTGAGTAGGAAGCTGCATTTGTCAGCCACCCCAAATAGCAGAATGGGGGTGTCAGTGATCCCTGCCCGCGGTTCCGGCCGGGAGCTGGATCCTCCTTGAAGTGCTGCCATCCCTTGTGCTCCCAACCTTGGGGCTGCAGCCTTTCCCGGCTGGGAGGGGACAGCACAGYGCTCACCAGTGCCACCACCCCCAGCAGGACCTGCTCTCACGCTTCCTTTTATAGGGATGGAATGCATTTTGGGCTTTTTATCCTGCTTTCCCTTCCCCATCCCTGCGGGAGCAGGTGCAGAGCTGCCCCGGCCAAGGGCAGTAAATACAATCACAGAAGTCACCCAAACCCACGCTCTCGGTCAAACTGGCTCCTCAGCACCCCTCCCGCAGCAATTCCCACTCAAGGGTTTGGAATACAGCGTTCCCAATCCCTAATTAGTTCCAAGCAAGGTGGAAATGTCGGTAGGAGAGTAACCAGGCTCATTTACAAAGCYAAGGGGGTATCAGCAAAACAAGGAACCTTCTGGTGAAAAAAAAAACCCAAGGTGGGAAATCCATCCTTCCCACAATTATCCCTTTTTTTGTTATCATGGTCCAGCAAAGCCCAGCAGGATCTGTGTTCCCTAAGTCACACACTGCCAGCACATTTCTCTCTTACCAAACGAAAAGAAATAAATCAATACATTTTTCCATGCTGCGATTGGGTTTTTTAATCACCTTTGCTGGAGCAGGAGGGATGAAATSGGTTCTGTCTCAGCTGTCACAATCACAGCACCAGGGATGTGCTGACGGGTACTTTAATTACTCCTATTTATAGGCTCATCAGTTGATATTTCTCATCTTTTTTTCAGTCTCCCTCACAAGTTACAGTTTAGAGCTCTGAGCAAAGTAACAGGATTATTCCTGGCAAGCAGGATGTTCATAATGTTTCCAAAAGGTAACTTGTATCCTTGTTCCCAGTGTGAGCAGAGACACATCCAGACACCCCAAAACAGAGTAAAAATCCTCCATATAGCACAAAAAACCCAAATATAAATGGCCATGGATTGAAATCAACTCATCCAGATTAACCATCTTGAGCAGGAGAGAGGACAACTTACCCTTGGAGGAATTATAATTAAATAGGTATTACTTATGGAGGTGAATCGATTGAAATTGTGGCTGCCCYRTTCCTGGAAGTGTCCAAGRCCAGGTTGGAYRGGGCTTGRAGCAAMCTGGGATAGTGGAARATGTCCCTGCCCRTGGYAKGGGGTGGAATGGGATGAGMTTTATGGTYCCTTCCAAYTCAAACCATTCTGAGATTCCACAAACCTCAGAATAGGTGCGTTAAAAAGGATTAAATATATTAAATACGTTTATACTCTTTTCTGTGATAATAACTTCTCAACATTCACCCAAATCTCTGAGCCCAAAAGGACACCCATACCAGACAGATATCAAAATAGACTAAGGACAGTGAGAAGCTACTGCAAAACYAGTGGATTCGCTGTTTTTCACGGTGCTTTAACAGTGCCACAATGGTGTGAAATTATAGCGAATGCTCATAACTAAGAGCCCAGGTGTGGGGAGCTCAGGAACACTCGTTTTGTAGCTGGGTCACGTTTTAGGGTCGGTAAATCCGCGGTACCGGCCCTCGGTGGAACACGAACCCCAGGGGATCCCAYACACGATCAATTCATCCCTCCGTGCTCCATAGAGACACTCACTTGAACCTCCCCAGACCAGGGGCACCGGGCAGCTCCGGCCACCGATCGGGATCGRCGGGACTGGAAACCACCGGGACTCCTTCACCCCCGGGAGATTGTCCCGGGAACGGGATCCGGGAGTGGGGACATCCCCCGGGAATGAACGGGGTGGGGGTACAGGAGGGGGACATCCCCACGGGAAGGGGCTCGAGGAGTGGAGCCATCCCCCCGGGAACGGGCAGGGTGTGCGCTGCCGGGGCGGATCCCGGGGGTGCCGCCCGTCCGCGGGGATCGGCTCCGTTCCCGCAGCCCCCGCGAGCGGGCGCGGAGGCGCCCCAGAAGCAGCGGCCCCTGCCCGCCGCCCTCCCCGCCGGCCCCGCCGCCGCTCCCGCCTCACCTCCGCGATGTCATCTTCCCCCGTGGCCCCGGCGGGTCGCGGTGCGCCGGCCCCCCCGCGCCGCCCGCCGCTCACATGGGGGTCCCGGCGGGGCCGCGGCCTTCGGGCGCTGCGGGGAGCGCGAACAACGGCGGCCTCGGGCCCGCGAGCGCGGCGCGGCCCGCCCCGCGTCACCGCCCGCGCCGTCATCGCCCCGCGCCGCGCCCCGCCCCGCGCCGCCGCTCCGCCCGGGGGGCTGCGGGACCCCCGCCACCGGAGCACCGCGGCACCGGAGCATCGCCCGCGCACAGGGCAGGGCGCGGAGCCGGCCGTGCCCCGAGGGGACGCGGGTTAAGCGGTGGCGGCGCGGCGGGGCCGCTCTCCGGGCCGGGAGTCCCGCAGCTCCCGGAGCGGGCGCGGGGTCTGGTGTCCCCCTCGCCGGTGACCCCGGGGTGCCCCGGGCAGCGCGGACCCTCCCGGACTACGAATCCCATGATGCCCCGCGCGGCGCGCTGACGTCAGACGCCGCGCTGTCCTTAGCCCGCGCACCCGGATGTGAGTTCCTTTTGCTCCCCCGGAAGGTGAGGATGGCGGAGYMGCKGCGATCAGCGCCGGGCCCTYCGCGCTCCATCCGCGGCCATCCGCYCGCCGCGGTCACAGGCGCGGACCGGCAGCCTCGGGGTGCGGCGGGGAGGCGCGGGGGCCCGGATGGGCGCGGGAATGGGAGGAGCGGGAGTGTCGCCGCTCCGGGCGGGCCAGGCCGCGGCGGGATGCGGAGGCCGCGCCGAAGCCTCCCGGGAACTGGGTTGGGGCTGGATGGGAGAGGCCGCTGGGGCAGGGCCGGGGCAGTCCCGAGCGGGCAGAGGCGGCTGCACGCTCGGGGCATGTTTGCCACGGGCTTCCCACCGAGGAGCGCTTGAATGTGCGCTTGAGCTGTTTTAACCAGCATGCAGGAGCATTTTAAGTCATGAAGGGGCGCGCAGGGAGCAGTGCTTGGTCAGCCACGGCCGGAGCAGCTGGCTGACGGCTACTAGAAAAGTGTGAAGAAAGATCTTTCGCATTCTTTTGTTTTSTCTGCTCTGTTACGAACCCTTATCCCTGCTGTCTGTGATCGTAGATGGCGGGTGAGAAGGCGCCCGCGGAGAAGAAGCCAGCTGAGAAGAAGCCGGCCAAGAAGAAGGCAGGGGAGAAGAAGCCGGCGGAGCAGAAGAGTCAGAAAGCAGCAGGGGACAAGAAGAAGAGGGTGAAGAAGTACCATGCCAGCCGTAACCCCGTCCTGGCCCGGGGCATCGGGAGGTATTCCCGCTCAGCCATGTATGCCAGGAAAGCCCTGTACAAACGCAAGTACACGGCCCCAGAGACAAAGGTAGGATGGGAAGCACTGTGGGACTAATCAGGTTTGTTGGGGTGACTCTGTTTTGAAGTGTCCTGAGTTTTCCCTGTTCTTTGCACACAGATAGAGAAGAAGAAGAAGGAGATGCCCCGTGCCACCATCACTAAGCCAGTGGGTGGAGACAAGAATGGAGGCAGCCGGGTGGTTAAAATCCGGAAAATGGTATGGAAAAGCACTGGGATGCTCACAGTTTGGGCTGGGTGATGAGCCTCGTGCCTGGGGTGATGTAGGGTCCTCAGCCTGTGCTGTGCTTCACTGTTGGTAGTGCTTTCCTTGAGTACAGACTGAACATTCTTGGGAGATGGTGGGGATTCAGAGGGGAATGCTGTGGTTAGGTGGAAGCACACACAAATATTCCTTCAGTGTGTCCCCTAAGCACTAGCTGCAGCAGGAATCCTTCAGAAAACTGAGCTATGGGGAGAATCTTAGTGAGGAGTTTCTTTGCTGTGGAACACAGGTAGTATAAGGTGTTTCTCCTCTTTTCCCAGCCCAGGTACTACCCCACGGAGGACGTTCCCCGGAAGCTGCTGAGCCACGGCAAGAAGCCGTTCTGTGAGCACAAGCGGCGCCTGCGGGCATCCATCACCCCTGGCACGGTGCTGATCCTGCTCACCGGCCGGCACCGTGGCAAGGTGGGCACAGCTGCTGCCACAGGGGCTTGGCAGCATTTCAGATAACCTGCATTTCCCAGCTGATGGCACCAGGATCCTGCTCAGCTGCTGGGTGCAAATCTGTGACATCTGTCTGAGTATTCTCCTTGTCCAGCCTTTAGGGGAGGCAGAGTTTAAATGTTTATTAAATTAAGRTTGTTCTCACAGAGCTGGAAGTAAAACAGGCTCAGCCAGTTGCTTGGACAAAATGAAAGGAGTCTTGCTGCAGTGCAGAGCAGCAGAGCCAGTGCCTGTTTGTGTTGCTGCAGCAGCAAACAAAAACTTTTCCTACAATAGTTAATGCAAAAGAAAAATTACTGTTTATCATTTTTAATATAATTACCCAGGTAACACTGGATTGTTATATTGGGTTTTCAGCCTCAAGATGGTCACCAATACAATGGGCATCCTTTATTTTCTTGAGTTCTTGGGCTTTGATGTCATATTCCATGAAGAATGCCCTCAAAGAAGGAAAACTTGACCAGATAGAACAAAGCACAAGTGAGGGATTGCTCTGACCATGTGATGCTGGGGGGGTCTTTGTGGCTTTTATCCAGTTCCTGCCTTTAACTCATACAAGGGATTTGGGTGATGGGATGGCTGTTGCKATCCTGCAGGATGGGGGAAAATAAAAGTGGAGTATGCTCAGCCATGAGAGATGAAGTTCAAGGAGAGTTATGCTCAATTGGAGAGGAGGTACCTGGAAATRCTGGAGTTTGGGTCACAGGGTGGCAGCTCCTCGGGTGGTACAGCTGACCCTCACCATTGTGTAACAGAGGCCTAGTGTGGCTCAGTCCCAGTTTGGCTGTGATATGGGAGCACTGGGATCTGAGGATTGATGTTACATCCCATTTCTTTACAGCGTGTCGTGTTCCTGAAGCAGCTTGATACTGGCCTTCTGCTTGTTACAGGTAAAACCTTACAGAAGTTTGATGGTATCTTTGCTTTGGGGATTCTGGGGATGTGGAATGGTTTTTTTAAAGTTCTAGTTTGTCTTTGGAGTGAGTAGCACAACAGATCTGCAYGTGATTGGTTTGGCACATCAGTGTGGAATCGGAGTTACCACCGCTAGAGGTGTCCAAGAAATKACTGAATGTGGCACTCAGTGCTCTGCTGTAGTTTACAAGGTGGTGATCAGTAAAAAGTTGGACTTCRTGATCTTGTTGGTCTTTYCCAACCTTAATGATTCTGGCATTTGTGAGTTTGCAGGGAAGTGGAGGGAACATAATTAAGTTTCAGTATCTGACTACCTGGAAKAGCTCAGGAAGTAGATTTTTATATTTCTAGAAAGCTTTGACTGTTCAGATTTTAGCTGTAGGCAATTCTGCAGGAACTGGTCATCACATAGACTCCAGAAATTCATCTTCAAAGCAGTGGTTTTCAGAAAAGCTGACCTTGTTCTCTCTTGTCTTCCTCTGCCTTCAGGCCCCCTGGCTGTCAACCGTGTCCCTCTGCGCAGGGCCCACCAGAAATTCGTTATTGCCACTTCCACAAAGGTGGATCTCACTGGGGTGAAAATTCCCAAGCATCTCACTGATTCCTACTTCAAGAAGAAGAGGCTGCGTAAGCCCAAGCACCAGGAGGGAGAGATCTTTGACACTGAGAAAGAGGTAAGGGAAAGGGCAGGGTGGTTTGTTCTTGCTGAATGCTCCAGGTTAGGCTGGAGAGGGGGAATTAGCAGGAAACAAAGAGTTGTATTTGAAGTGGTCATTAATAAAGCAAGGTGATGCCATTAAAATGAGGTACACCCTCTTTTAAATTTGGGGGTTCTTTTCTGCTTGTACTTCACCAGAAGAGRAGCAGTGATTATTCCAGTTAAATTGTGGTTTTTGAAACCACAGGAAACACTTCTGTGTTGGTTCCAAGGGGTGCTTCAGTGCTCCACACCATTCCCATTATTTAGAACAAAGTGAGAAAAAGTTTCTTGAAAACACCAAAACTCAAAGTTTGCCCTGAATGTTTTCCTCTCTCTAGCAAATTCTGCAGTTGCTCCCTGGATTTTAATGTTGTTTCTTGTGCTTTGCAGAAATACGAGCTGACAGAGCAGCGCAAGACAGACCAGAAGGCCGTGGATTCCCAGATCCTGGCACGGATCAAGAAGGTGCCTCAGCTCCGGGGGTACCTGCGGTCCACGTTCTCTCTCTCAAACGGAGTTTATCCTCACAAATTGGTCTTCTGAGCCTTCTGGAAGCGCCACATTAAACTCCAAGGGAAAAATAGCAAGGATTTGTGGTGTGTTCATTGCAGTGTGTAACAGCAGGTGTTGCACTACTCTAGCAGTGCAYGTTAATGTAGGGCTGCAGGTAGTGACCAGAATTTGGAGTGTGCAAAATTTGAGGTGTAGGAGTTTTGGTTGTTCCAGTTTTGTGATGGTTGTTGGATTTTTTAAACTTTTATATAAACAGGAATTCAGCTTTCTTAACTGAATGGATCCGGAACACATTATGCTTTGGGAATAGCAGATAATGCTGGGCTGACACAGTGCAGATTAAAATCTGGATAAAATTGGATAAAATATACTTGTGTTTAACCTTATCAAATAGAGAACTTTTTAGAGGTATTTCAGGAGCTGTGCTTTGATTTTGAAGTGCAAATGCTGGGAATACTCCACAATTTTGCAGTATAACTTATTCCTGAAACTAACAAAATTTGGAGTGTATGTCCCTTTTCTGTTCTTCATCTTTGTGGGATGTCAGGAATGTATCTGCTTAGAACAGAAAGGAAAAGCATTCTCTTAATTCTGTATGCTTGGAAATCAGTTCAAAAACAAGCTTTTTTTTGTGAAAGGGAAGTATTTTTTCTATCCTGGGAGACATCTAGAGTCTCTACAATTTCTCCTGTCTCAAAACTGGCTGCAAGTGAGTGGAGAAAGTTGGTCCTGTGTTTCCTCTGTGTTGAACTCAGCAGAAATCAATGCTCTTACACAAACAAGGGRTGTACAGATCACCAAGTCTGGCACTCTGGAGCTCTTCCTTAGCCAGACTTCTGCAGGAATCCAGGTTTATGTAACTGCACCATCTGTCTGCCCAGTAATTTGGAGCTGAAGTAGCCAACAGGGTCAGACTTGACAAGAAATAGAGATTTCATCAAATTCATATGGGCTCCATAAAAGGGGGATAGAAAAGGG